ATGATGCTTGGAGACCGCTTAGCCCTCACATGACGCTCCTTCAATAGGACCCGCATGAATCCCAATTGAAAGATCAAGAGAATCGCTAATCATGGAAGATTATCAAGGGAATCATCACTTATGGAGATAATTGCTAATCATGGAATATTATCGAGGGAATCATCACTTATGGAGAGAATCGCTAATCATGGAAGATTATCAAGGGAATCATCACTTATGGAGACTTCTTGAAGTTACCTTAATATGTATTTCCTTTTATTATAAGTTTTCATATAGTATAATTTCATATCTAAAACTGTCCTAACTATTTATTTTCTTATAGTTAGACTTACCTTTTGGTTTGTTTCCTTTATTATTTGTTGTCTTTTATTTTCCTCAAGGACCTTTATATAAGGTCCTTGTCTATCATTGTAATTGGAACCATTTTATATCTTGAATCAAATTTCACTTTTATAATTTTCTAGTGTTAGAGAGTGATTTCCTTGCATTTAGAGTCTCAAATCGGGTCTTTGGAGTGATTTCATCGGTTCGTGGCTTCCAATCCTTTGCAGTGGAATTTTACCTATTGTTTGTGTTTTACCTATGGATTGATTTCAGTTTCGAGACTTATTCTCGTGGTTGGTTATCATCCTTATTAATTCACAATCTCTGCACTATCTTTTCTTCTTCATTCTGTTTTCTTTTATACATATTCTTAATCCATTTGTTCTATTGAACTTTGTGAGTAAGAAAAATATATTGGTTATAATTATATACGGTCAGGCCATGTCATATGCCCAAGAAGTTCTTGCTGGAAGAACGTTCACAATAGAAGCACAGTTTATTCGGAAAGCTTATACCGAAGTTGGATTTCGTGCGTACTTGGAGGAACATCATTTGTTGTTTTGGGCAACCAGGTTGAAAAGATTTTTCCCTTGCCTGGTCAAGGAATTCTATGCCAATTTAAGTGGCAAGTTAGTAGACTCAAACTCTCTCTGGTACCATAAAATTTATATGCGTGAAAAAATTTTGGAATTCAACCCTGCAATACCCAACGAGTTGTTACAACTGCCTGCAAATGAATAAATAAAATTGCCTGCTGAACTGATTGAGGAATCAACAAATGAAGTTGCCCGCACAATTTCTGCTGGAAATGCATCCACATTTGGACGTTTGGGAGTCACTAGAGCAATGTTGACTATGAAATTCCAATACCTGTTTCGCTTGTGTAGTTGCAACATCCTGCCAACTGTCAACAACACTTCTGTGAGTGAAGACATGGGTACTCTCATTTTTTATATTGACAAGCATTTGGAGCTCATTAATTTTGGTTATTTAGTCATTAGGAAAATGATTGATTATTGCTATGATTCTTGAGTTGATTGGACCAGAATGCCATAGCATGGCTTAATTTGTTTGTTCTTGAGCTCTAAGGGCATTCATCCTGCCCCTGAAGAGGTTCTTCCGGTTCGCTCATTTCAAACCCAGTCTAATCTAAAAAAACTACACAACAATTTTCTCCTCGGCGCCCCGCTGGACTTTGAAGCCTGAGTTGAAAAGTGTAAGGAGTTACTGAATGAAGTATGAAGGAACACTCTATCATGTCCACCAATCTTATTGCTCAGAAGATGAACCTTGCCCAAGCTGTGAGACTTCTGCCTCGTCCATCTAGAGCCCTCGATGATGTAGATGATGATGATGCAGTTGAGGGGGGGGAGGAACTCCCTTGATCCGCCCTTTTTGGCCACTGCTGCAAGCCAAGGGAGAGAAGCCACAACTCAGGGTGAACTTATGCTGGGGGGGGGGGGGGTGCTTGGAAGTGCTGGTATCTATTATTTGTTTTTATATGTTGTTTATTTTCTGCTCGTTTTATGAACTAATGTTGTTTGCTGGTTGTTACAACACCGTGTTGATGTGAAAGTCGTCTGTGGCTCGGTGGATTTATGGCTTGTGATAACTATGATTGAATTGTAGTTCATTTGTGTTTGGTGTGTTATGTTTTCTTTTATTATGCCTTGCTTCATTGCCAAAAGGGGGAGATTGTTCGTATAAGCAAAACCCTAAAACTCCTTTTTGCTATTTTTGGCAATGAACAAGCATACTGACATGCTGTCGCAGCTACCCTATAACACAGTTTTGGCTCTGGCCGAAAAATGAGGTTTGTAAGGGTCAAACTTGTTGTGCATTCAATGCTTTGAGATGAAGGGACTTGTCTCATGTGGAAGAGAAGCAAGACGTGATAGTGAAGTGTCTCATTTGTCCTGCATCTCATTAATTGTCTTTGTACACACAACTATGAAGTTGATGAGTCAACTTTGTCTTCTAGTGTAGTGTGTATATGTTTTGTTTGTATGTATGTTTGTTTTTAGGTGTGAGTAACCAAGACCAGAGAGTGTTTTCCTCTCCACCTAATTGTGTGTTGAGAGAGCTCATCCATGGAAGTTTGAACATGAGAAGAAGAATTTCTCAGAACTGAAGCCGAATGAGTCATTCATCCAATAAATAACCTTATTTGCTATTCATTACTAATATAGGTAAACAAAATGGGTTTTACATCCCTTGCAAATATATATATAGTAGCAGGTTACTACTATACACGGATTTATTAGAATATAAAATTTACATAAATAATATTATGTCCTTTTAAGATAAGAAATTATAAAAATTAAATTTTATTGTACAAATATAATAAATGAAAGATTTCTAAAATTTGTACACCTTTTGCATATATATTGTTTGAATAAATAATATAATTTGTTCATTATTATATTTATGTGTTGAATTATTTATATTACTAAACATTATAATTGTTGGATTTTTAATGCAAATGGATCCACCCTAATATAATACACAAATCCACTTAATTAAGCAACCCAATTACACATTGGTCCTGACCCACTTCACAGGCCTACGACCCTAGCCCATGCCTTGACCCGCGCCCTTGCCTAGACCCAGTCTCTTGGTCTGTTGCACCGCCTGCAACCCATGGGTTAAAAAGCCTTAATTATAAATAAAATCAGTTTGCATACTATGTTTATTATTTTTCTCATAAGTTGCAATTAGCTCTTGTTGCATTGGCTAGAAAGAATGTTGATATTGCAGACTTTTTAAATATAATTTCCTCTTTGATCAATGTTGTTGGAGCTTCTTGTAAACGTAAAGATATGATTCGACAAAAATAAGTAGAAAAAATGGTGGAAGCAATCAAAATGGCTTTCTTGAGACTGGAAATTGACTAAATCAAAGTTGAATCTTAAAAGGGCAATGGATATATGTTTGGGGGTCTCATTATAAATCATTGTTGAATTTGGTTGCTTTGTTCTCTTCCGTTCTCGAAGTTCTTGAAGTTGTTTCGTGTGATCCTACAGATTCATCAAAAAAGGCTCAAGCATATGGATTATTAAGATATTTGTAATCATTTGATTTTGCTTTTAATTTGCAAATGATGTTGGTTATACTTGGTCTTATACATGACTTGTTATTAGTATTGCAACAAAAAGATATAAAAATGTTGAATGCTACGATACTTGTTAGAGTAAGTAAAAAAAAAAAATTGCAAACAACAAGAAATGATGGATAGGGATCTTTACTTGGTAAGATCATAGCTTTTTGTGATGAATATAAGATTGATTTTGTCGATATGATTGATGAATATATTGATCGTCATCGTCCTGGCGTAAAATAAAGATTACTAAAGATTTTCATTATCGTGTGGAATGTTTTAATGCCATTATGGATCAACATATTTTTTAGATAAATAATCGATTTAATGAGATCAATTCTGAGTTGCTTGTCTGTGTTGCTAGCTTGAATCCAAGTGATAGCTTTTCCAATTTCAATATAGCAAAATTGGAAAGATTGTCTCATTTTTATCCGACCGATTTCTCTTCACTTGAACATATGATGATTGAGAATCAGCTAGAAACATATATTGTGGATGTGCGATTAGATGAAAGATTCGGTTAATTGGAGGAGCTTGTTGATCTTTCAGTGATGCTAGTGCAAACAAAAAACACTTGTCTTACCCATAATTATATTAAGTTTTTAAGTTAACATTGATTTTACCGGTACCCACAACGACAGTCGAAAGATGCTTCTCGGAAATGAATATTTTGAAGACCGATTTACGAAATCGGATTTGTGATAAATATTTAAATTATTGTCTTGTGTGTTTCATTGAAAAGGATTTGCTTAGAAGTGTTACAACCGATAATGTGACTAAACATTTACAATGTATGAAAACACGTTAGGGAAAATTATTATTTATCTTTTTATATTATAATAACAATTTATTAAATTATGCACTCATTTGAAAAGGCGGCTTGATCCGCCACCATATACTATTCAACTAAAAACAACCAGATACGGTAACAAAATTATGCCGCGAAGTGATGTCCTGGTGGTGGGATGAACTTGTAATCTTAAGGTCATAAATTCAAACCCCTAACGCCTCTAAGTCCACCTGTCACACATGGTTCGACCGAAAATTTATCCAAAGTGCACTCAACTGCATATATATATTTACACATTCTTTTTTCCATGAAAACATAAAAAGTTTCCATAAAAACATAAAAAATTTCCATGAAAACATTACAACCTATGCTATTCCACCTAAAGACAACTAAATACAAAATAAACAAAGCGTAATAGGTGTGTTTGTTGGTGGATTTTAGGATTAAATTAAATAAATTATTGATGTAATATTTTACATCTAAAATTAAAATTTTATTATAATATATAAAAAATAAAAAATAAAATTTAATTTAATATTTTTGGAATTTTTTTTTAAATAGTAAAATCTTTTAAAAAGCCATCACAAACAAACACACCTAATATTTTCTAAAACTAATTAAAAGTTAAGATTAAATGCTTTCTTTAGTTAAAACTCTCTGATTTCCTACAAAAACATACTATTTTCTTTAAAAAAATCATATCCAAACATCTATAAAAACGAAAACACAAAATCAAACATCATATAAGCAAATCCCTAAATATATACAGACACTCAATACTTATAAACATGAATAAATTATCAATAATTTATTAAAATCCATTCATAATAGTAAACGTACCCCCCAAAGTAAAGTAAGTAAGATTCGAAGGGAGCCACAAAAGTCCATAGAAAACATTAATCTCAAACATATATATAGCCATTGATAAAAACACAACAAAAATGAACCAATTACCTTCGCCACCGCGGCCGGTTCACCATTCGTTAGCCGTTTCTCAATCAATATCATCGAGCGATTGCTCGCCCGAAGGAGGAGCAGCAACTGAATCTCCAACACTTTTCGCATGAATTTTCTCATCGCTGCCTGTGTTGTCTGATGATTGCATGGCGGCAGTCATGCTCGGGTGTTGACCCGAACGAGCATAAGGATCGGATAAAAGAGGGGTGCTCGGGTTGTACATGTAAGAGAATCCGTCCACAGGGTGATCGAACTTACAAGCTGGACCATATTTGCAGTGTCCATAGAGTGTGTAATGCCAGCACGTTGGCTTCCCCTGCATTCCCAATGAGATGGAGCCGTAAGTAGTTGCATAGCACCCGAAAACATGTGTTTCTATTTAATTGTGTAGATCCCAAACATAGTATTCCAATGCACATATACCATCGATAGAACTTGTATGTAAAAAGATTGTTTATGTGAATATTGAAACTATTTCTAAAACTATGAGCTATCGATTTGGTCTTCGTGGAGATTCCATTTACCTATTTTGTCGATTCTCTCGGGTAGGATTAAGTTCTTTAAATGCTCATAAGTTCAAAGAATGAATCTTTATACTACATGCCATTTTAAAACTAAGATAAAAGGGATAGGTAATCTCACAGGTCTTAAAGGAAGCCCGAATGGGCCGAGAGAACTTGCAGCCGATTGTAACATCTTTTCTCTGGGATGATGATATTTGCACTCTGATCCGTATTTACAGGTTCCATGATTCATGTAATATCGGCATTCTGGTTGATCAGGTCTTTCTGGTAGATTAAACTCTGATACCTGCCCATTGAGCAAAGTAAATGTTTTGTACGAAAAATGAATGCTTTGTTCAAGTGTCAATGTCACAACAAGCATCTCACTACTCAATATACTTTGTTTACGGATTTAAACAGACAACAACAGGATCCAGAAAATCAAAACAATTCCATAGTGTATGCCTAAATACAAAATATACTGGAGATTGCGTAACTCATCAAATTAGTTTCGATGAACAGACACTATGCTATTGCAGAACACTAAAGATGAGGAAAGGTTTAGCTATTCAATCTGTTATTAGCTTTTGTTGATAAAATTGGAGTTTTCTGACAATGAAACCCTGTCGAGCATCAACATTTTTGCTTAGTAATAGTAAAATTCTATCTTAAGATTTGAAATTTCAAGATGAATTGGACTGTCACATACCTAAAACAATAGCTTCCAATTTGGTAAAAGATGACCGTATATGCAAATGATAAACAAAAAAAAAAAAGGAAGTAAGCTTAAATTATGTATACCGGGTTAGTCTCCCAGCCTGGTGGAGCTAAATAAATTGGCATATAGCTCGGAAGAAGATGGAGGGGATTCGAAACATAGGCTGCTTGTGATAGCGGCACTGCTGAGTGTTCGCCTGCAGATAGAGGACCGGAAGAAGGGGCAATGGCAGAGCCACCCGAGCCATACATGGGTCTTACCATTGGCAAGACATTTGCAGGGGATGGTGGATGAGGATGAGGATGATCGAACTTGCAAGCATAGCCAAATCTACAAGAACCTGTCCGCATATAATAAGGACATGGCTTCGCTCCCTGAAGACGAGCATGATCATTAAGTAGTTCTACACTTCATCGTCTACAATAAGAATGAAATAATTGGACAAGAGGAAACTAAAATGGCAGAAATAAGTTATTACCTGGCGCATTGGTAAGCCCAACATATTCAGCATGATTAATGAATCGGATTTACTGTCCTTGGGATGTTGATAAGCTTGTCTGCCTTTTGGGTGATGATATTTACAAGTTGATCCGTATTTGCAGGCACCAGTCCTTAAATAATACTGCAAGAAATTGCAGGGAGTCACACCAGGCAATAAGGAGTGCTCGTTCCAGTAATCACTCGAGAATTGTTACTTTCTTGGAGCTTTTAGCCTTTTTTTTAGGAGATGAAAAAGGAAAAAATGACAGGATTTCATACTTAAATTACTCCAGAATTTAGTGAGCAGCTAACCGGAAAAAATGAGCAAGGTCACGCTTAAAATCCCTTCTAGAATCATTGTAACAATAAAGAGTTGATTCTAAAGAAATCATGGACATCTCATAATCTTATTGAATAACGATCACATACAATTAATCGGAAATGAGTTTAAATAAAATTGTCGATCTACTAAAGGAAAGGTAATGATCTTATCAAAGAAGTTGTACAAAGTAACGAAAAGTATAGCGAATAACTAGAAGATGAAAAGGTTGTTAACATTGTCGATAATCTATCAAAGAAGGATACTGCTCCAATTCTGTTAAAAACTAATTCCCAAGAAAGAAGCCACAATAAATACTGAAAAGGTAAAGCGTATTAATAGGCCTCGATGAGCAACGTCATGCTTAAAATCCCTTAAAAAACCATTACTAGATCATTGAAACAATAATGAGTTTTCTAAAGAAATCATGGTCATCTCTTAATCTTGTTGTTTAAATCTTGAATAATGATCACATACAATAAATCTGAAATTTGTTTAAACAAAACCGTTGTTTATCTACTAAAGAAGAAGTAATGATCCTATCAAAGAAGTCATAAAAAGTAATGAAAAAGTATAGCGGCTATTTAGAAGATGAAAGGATTATTAACATTGTTCGATGATCTACCAAAGAAGGGCAACGATCCAATTCTGTTAAAAAACTAGTTCCCAAGAAAGAAGCCGTAATAAATGTCGAAAAGGTAAAGCATATTAATAGACCTCGACGAGCTTATTTAATATCAACTAACTAGACAAAATATAAGAACATTGATCACCACAATGGATACGATTACATAAAGAAGATAAATATCCAATATTACCTCACAATTCGGCTGTCCATCTCTTTCCGGAAGCTCATGAACCTAATCAACACCAATTGATCACATAAGTTAACATCATCATATATGAATACAAAGCATTAAAGCAATCTGTGTTTCATAGTAAACAAAGTTGGATACCAAAAATGTGAACTAGTTTAGGGAGATATGTGTATATATATATATATATATATATATTTACTTGCTGTCCTCCTGCATTGGAGGGATGATTGAAACGACAATTGCTTCCATAACCACAAGTCCCTGTTCTTAAGAAGTATATACAATCTGGTTCGCCTGGTCGATCCGGCAACGGTAACGTACAACTTCGATCATCATCCACTCCACCATTTCCATCACGGCTCCCTATCTTCAAACCCTTCATTGCCTCTACAGAACGGAACATAAGCTTGCTTAATAGAAGGAGCAAAATCCACGTCGTGGATACAGAAAAACGATAAAGCAGAATTGTTCCAAAAACAACGACATAGGAACAATCAGCATTCACAGTCACAGTCACACAGCGATCATCCGCTCGAGACTCGGAAATAAAAATTCAGCAACAGAAACACACAATTTCGATCTATATTTCACAAATTGGAACAAGAACAACACAGTGAAAGAGAAACGCAAACCTTGAACTTCTTCGGCGGCGGAATCGGAGGAATTCGAGAGCGCATCATTCCTCCGCAGCTCCTGATCCCCCAGCATCGATTGATTTCCAAATTGTTCAATAATCACGCGGCGGATTGAGACGCAATTCCTATACACAACAAAAGAATCGGGCGCAGGCGCACATACAAATAGAATACAATACAATAGAATACAATGGATCAAAGGGAAGCGCGAGAATGATCGGAGGAGAAGAGTAAAAATCAAGCGGAAGGAAACCGAAAAACATGAGATTTGGGCATTGTGAATGCGATTGGGATTGAGAGTAAAATTGATGATGGTGTCTCTTCTTCTCTGATCTTCGGAATCTCATCAGAATTAAATGCCATTCTTTCTTTCTCTTTTAAGATTTTTCTTGCGCTCGCTCGCGTGTCATTATAAAATAAATAAATCTATTTTCAAATTATTTTCACTTGGAAAAAATCAATTTTTGGTTTTAATATAATTAAAATTTATCAATTTTAGTCTCAATATAAAAAATTCATCAATTTTAGTTCTAATATAAATAATTTCAATCAATTTAGGTCTCATTATAAACAATTTCAATCAACTTGGGTCACATTATAAACAATTTCAATCAATTTTGGTCTCATTATAAACAATTTCAATCAATTTTGGTTTCATTATAAACAATTTCAATCGATTTTGGTCTTACCGTTAAAAAATTAACGGAAATTACTGACGTGGACATAAAGGAGGTGACGTGGCAGTTGAATTGGAAAATACACAGCCATATACAATTATACACGGTCATGTTGTTACATGGTCATGTATATTTCAGTGTATAATTATACATTACCATGTTGTTACACGGCCATGTACAATTATACACGGTCATGTTGTTACATGACCGTATATATTTCAGCGTATAATTATACATGACCATTTTGTTACACGACCATGTATAATTCTACACGGCAGTATACTTTTCTATTTCGATCTAAAATTTTATTTTTTTGTTATATTTTTTAATTTTTTTTTTAAAATTTAGAATAGTTGATATAGTTAAAATAGAAAAAAAAATCAATAATAATCATAATATAATTAGATGTTTGTAAGAAAATTTTTTTTTTGCTAAATAGTAGAATTTTAGACAATAAATTAATTTTTAATACTACTATAATATACAAAATTAAAGAATAGTTGTGTAATTAGATGTTTGTAAGAAGAATTTTTTTTATGAATAATAAAATTTTAGACAAAACCTTTCGAAATAATATATTTTATAAATTTTTATATTTGAATTAAAATGGATAAATTTTAATTATATTATAATTACTATTGATTTTGTCTATTTTAATTTTTAACTATATCAACTATTTTAAATTCAAAATATTTTTTTTTAAAAAAAATATATAACAAAAAAATGAAATTTTAAACTAAAATAAAAATGTACATGGCTGTGTATAATTGTACATGGTCATTCAACAACATGGTCATGTATAATTATATACTGAAATATACATGGTCATGTAACAACATGGTCGTGTATAATTGTACATGGCCGTGTACTTTTCAGGTGAACTGTCACGTCACCTCCGTCATGTCCACGTCAGCAATCTCCGTTAGTTTTTTAACGGTAGAACCACAATTGATTGAAATTGTATATAATAGGACCAAAATTGATTGAAATTGTTTATATTGAGACTAAAATTGATGAGTTTTTTATATTGAGACCAAAATTGATTTTTTCTCTATTTTCAATATACTGCCTCTCGAATCAATCACTCTATTTTATTACTCTTTACGTCCCATAACTAGGTATCCGTTTGCTTTTTGCACGGACTTTTATAAATATTAGTATTATATTGGGGTTTAGTATGAATAAAGTAGAAATTACTAAAATAATCTTATTAGTATTGTGTGATATAAAGGTAATGACATTTGTGTAATATATTTTAAGTTTAAGGGTATTTGTAATGTTAAGTAGATGGTACATTTACTTAAAAAAAAAAAAAAAAGGAATGAATGCTTTGTTATGTGACGGACTAAAAAAAAAAATAGATATTTTGTTATGAGACGAAAAGAGTATTTAATTATAAAAGTCCCATTTGAAATGGTTTAGAATACTTTATTTAAGATAATGTAATTTAATTCGTTAATAATATTGACTTACAATATTATTTTATTATATTTTTATATAAATATTATTGATAGTAATTTTAAAATAATAATTAAAATAAATTTGAAATATGCATTTAAATATTTAAAATATTATATTTCAATAAAATATATATAATATAAATACTATTTTATAAAATAGACTAAAATTTTAAACAATACAAATATATAAAAAAATATATTTATTAATTTATAATTAAGAGAAATTAATTTTATTAAAAAAAATTGAATTTTAAATGTAAATAAAAATATTTAGTTATTGATTAGATAAATATAAATAAAAAAATTTTGAGTAAGTTCTACATACGTTGTAGTATATATATTATAAAGTTAATTAAATTAATATTTTAAAAAGTATATAATAAAATTTTAAATAAATTAAATGGATAAATAGTTATGATATTATATAATAGTTATTTGTTAATTATAGAATGTAGGTTTGTTTTTCCTTTTTTTTTAAATAATAACAATAATTAGACATAAATTAATTGACAATGAGAGTAGTATTTTGTCATTTTGATCAATTTAAAATTAATTTTTCTATATTAATTTTTTTTGTAACTATGATCCCTACAAAATATATTACTCCATCCATCCAATTGAAATATTACCATTTTTTATTTTCGTCCGTCCCGAAATCAGATTATTATTTCCTAATTTAGTAATTGTACTACCTACTTAACATAATAAATACATTTTCAACTTACAATATATTGCACAAATGTCATTACTTTTACATTACACCATACTAATAGGGGTATTCTTGTTTTTTTTTTTTTACTACAATCAAATATAATACTAATATTTAAAAATTTACGTGCAAAAAGCAAATGTCACCCTTCCAACGGGACGGAGGGAGTAAAAAAATTTATATTCTAAGTATTATTATTACATTAATTACAAACATTTTTCTAAAAGTAAATTGTATATTTATTCCTAGCATTTTTTTTTCGATTTTTAACAATTTTTTTTTTTGTTTACATATTTTTATAATTTACAATATTTTATACAAATATTATTATATTTATATATAATAATACTAATAGAAATATTTTTGTAATTTTCTTTTGAACTCTACTATATACAAATACAAATAATATTAATATTCAAAAACTACATGTAAAAAACACATATATACTTTATTCGGAGACTAATGTAATATATAAATACAGAAAGTAAATAGATACATTGATATGTGATCGAGTGAGTATAATTTTCTTATTTTCATTCGTCCAAACACAAAACATATACTCCTCTGTCCCATTTCAAAATATCATTTTTACCGTTTTCGTCTATCCTTATTCGAAGTGTCTTTCTTATTTTAGAAAAATAATTATACAATAATACTAAAATACCTTTAACTTTTACTTAAATTACAAATATATCGTTACACATACAATTAATTTATACATAAAGTCAAAGGGCAAAAATATCAAAACTTCTTACATATTTCCTCTAACCAATAAAATAATATTATTTATTAATCTACTTAAAAAAAAAAAAAAAAAATCTCAAAATGACCATTTGAAATGGACCGGATAAATAGATTTTAATAAATCTGATCATCCAACAAATTATAAAAATATCATCAAATGTATACTTATTTATATCAATTAAAACAAGTCTAAAGATATTTTACATACAAAGAGTATTTTTAAATAGAACGATTTTTCACAAATATTATTTAAAAATAATATAAACACATATATATATATATATATTAACATAATATATATTTTGTTCATTTATAAAAGTCAATTTTTCATATCTAATATGAAAAAATAGATTCACCAAAAAATACAAAGTAAACAAATCTTTTATAAAATTCAACATAAAAAATAAATATATATAAATAAATCGAGGAACTAATATTTTCTAAAATAAATATTAAATTAAATATTTATTTTTTTCTTATTAAATATCTAATATTTTACTATTTTAAGAAAAATTTCAAACTCCAAAATTCTAAAATATCTATATTTAAGGCTTTTATTACAAATATTTTTTTACACAATTTTGACATTGTGAAATCCCCTCTCTAAAATTACCGTTCCATTGGGTGTTCTTTTTAGTGTGTGAAATAATTGAAGAAGTATTATATATATATATACAAGGTATATAAAATTATGTATATAATACTTCCTCCGTCTCAATACAATAGTATTGGTTATTATTTTTATCTTTTCAAAAACAATAGTCTCGCATTTTTATCTTTTCAAAAATAATAGTCTCGTTTCCATAAATAATCATATCACCATAAAATTATCCATACTTTTTCATTATTATTACACAATGCCACTACTTTTTACATTAATCACAAGGGCAAAAAAATCATTTATTCGTACTTTTTACCAACCATCAATATAATATCAATATTTTTTAAATTTTGGTATCCAACACAATAAGACTATGCTTTTGGGATGGAGGAAGTATAAAATAATAAATATGTGTGATATATTAATTTTATTAGAAATATATATATATATATATATTTTGACAAAAAGAACACACCCCCACATTTTATGCATATTACTATATGACATCGAATGTTCACTGTACATTTAAATTATTATTATTATTATTATTATTTTATAATATGGGAAAACACATTTGTTATTTTTGGATGTGTTCTGAGTAAATATTCAGTTGAACTTAATAGCTTGCAAATTAGGCTTGACAAGGCAAGTCACACTAAACCAATCATGTATTTAATTTTTTTAAATTTTGACCCTATTTATTAATAATATTTTTTTAAAAAAATATATCTATAAAATATATACTTTATCTTATAAAATTTCAAATTGAATTTTTATAATTATTATTTTTGAAATATTAAAAACTTTTATCTAAACATATAGAATCAAAATATATTTAAATATATCCTAAATTATTAGAATTGTTATATTGAACCATATGATGAGTTTTGTTTTTTCTTCCTTTTTCAATCCAATGTATGAAGAGTATGAAGTTTGAATATTAAAAAAAAAATTGAATAGTTGTGCGATTTGATATAAATAGATATTAACTTGGTATTTTGAACTAAATTAGTTTTTAGGATAATATAAAAGTTCAAAATTTAATATTTAATTTAATATTTTTCAGATAAAAATTTAATGAATAATAAAATTTTGGGTTAAATTTCCAACCAAACATACTACTATTTTGAAAGAATTTTGAAATTTTGAATATAACTATTTACGTGACATAT